CAGCTGGACCATGAACTTTATCCTGACAAACTGATGGTTCTGGGATCTGAAGCTGCTTTGAAATGACTCCAAGAGACTTTTCTGACTGGTTCAAGTCAGTGATTTGCTTTTTCAGATCTTTTCTGAGCTGTTGTGTTTGTGTCTGAGTCTAATGAGTGGATCTAATGGTTCCTATTTAACCTGGCTCTGAGGAGCAGCTGTAGTCAATCAGAATCAGTCACGAGAAGTTAAGAGGTCGCTAAGAGCATCTGATTAACACAACTTCCTGTATCATCAAAACTGGTCCTTTTAATTCAGCACTGTTTTGAGTGGGAATGTTGAAGCTGTTAGCAAACAGCTCCTCATTTACACACCAGAGCAACACTAGCTTTCATTTACAGTCATGTTTGTGGCCACCTGATGAATACAAGTCCAACGTTCCACTCTGTTGTAGCTCTGGGTTTGATCTCCACCACCTTCTGAGGGAAATATCTGGCTATTTAGCTGCTATATGCTCCATTGTTAGTGTCTCACGCTCAGCTGCAGCCAAAACTTGTGACCAAAACAACAGTGAACCAAAGCCACCTAATTCATCAGTATCACAGCCACCATTCACATTATACGATATACAAATGTTGATTACAGCTGCTTTAACTGCTTTAACCTTCTGAACTCCAGGTAGTTTCACAGCATTTTTTTAATGCACATTGGGCTCATTTTTCTCTGTAATATAAAGTCCTGCACCTCTATAGAAGCAGAACAACCATGACCTGAAGAGAGAACTCAAAAAATGTCTTCTGTGCAAGATGACATAGTCAGAATGGCATAAATTATATATAAAAAAGAAAAAGCCAAAGTTGGATTCCTTTGATTGTTAATTTCACAAAAATGGAAAAAACCTGGAATCAACACATACATTTTTGTCACCAAAACTGGGAAAACATAGCGACTCTACATACGATAGACTTTATACACATATATGTATTTTTATATATCAGCGTTTGTAGGAGTCAATAATGTAATAACAGCCGATACTGTGACAACGGACAATGACGTAGTAAATTTGCCATTTTTAAACTGTAATAGACCAATAACGTATTAACTGACCAATAACATAATAATGGTCAATAACGTGATAATAGCCAATAACATAAAAATGGCCGATAATGTAATAATGGCCAAAAACGTAATAATGGCGATCACTTTGTTGGCTTATTGCATTTTAATAATAGGAAATTTATTACATTATTGGCCGATGTTACATTTTCAGCCATTATTACATTGCTGGCCATTATTTTGTTATCGGCCACTATTAAGTTATTAGCCAGTTATTACATTGTTGACCATTATTACATTATCGGCCATTATTACATTATCAACCATTATTACGTTATCGGCCATTATTACGTTGTCGTCCATTATTACATTGTTGGCCTTTATTACGTTACTGTCCATTACTACGTTATCAGCCATTGTTACGTTACTTGCCAGTTATTACATTATCAGCCGTTATTACGTTATCGGCCATTATTACATTATCGGCCATTATTACGTTATCGGCCATTATTACATTATCGGCCATTATTACGTTATCGGCCATTATTTCATTATCGGCCATTTTTATGTTATTGGCTATTATTGCATCATCTGCCATTATTAAGTTATTGGCCAGTTATTACTTTATTGGCCTATTACATTTTCAAAAGTGCAAATTTATTATGTTATCGGCCATTACTATGTTATCGGCCATTGTTACGTTATCAGTCATTATTACGTTATCAGTCATTATTATGTTTTTGGCCATTATTACGTTATTAGCCATTATTACGTTATCAGTTATTATTACGTTATTGGCCATTATTATGTTGTCAGCCATTATTACACTATTGGCTTCTACAGCGTTATCTCATGTCATGTGATACCAAAGCGGGGAAACGTGGCGGTATGTAGGCATTTTACTACTTGTGTCCTCTGCATAAACACGTCCTGCAGTTCAACTGAAAAGTCGCTGAATTCTTGACACGTGACTGTTGAGTCAACTGAGCCCCTGACGGCTTCACAGCTTCAGATTTTTTTTGTCTTTTACAGAAACTGTTTATCACAAACGATTCATTTTTGACTTTTTTTTTTTTAAATGAGATGTTTGAAATATACTGATTTCGTTTTCAT